AGACCGAGAAAAACCACTCACCATCGTCGCCAGCTCTCCGGGTCAGTCGCAGGAGCGCGCCATTATCGAGAGAGATGAATAACTCCAGAGGACTGCTCGCATGTAGTCGGTGGGGGTTTGAAAAGGCCAAGGGAGCGGGGAGGCATGTCTTGCACCAATCCCTGACATTTTCATCGATTGAGGAGGTCCGGCGGAAGAATTCGGGGCGTAGAGACAGGGTGTGAAGGTGCTTGGATTCGGTGATCACGAAGACATTGATGAGTTCGTGATCCTCGGAGTCGGACAATTCAACACCAAAGGGGAGAATCCGCTCCTGGAAATCCAGTCGCAAGGTCACATTGTATTCATAGACTTCTGTCCCACCCTTCGTTAGGTCCGCGCACTGGATCTCCAGCACTTTGTTGTCGTTGATGACCCTCCACAAGAACGTCCTCGGGTAGACCCTGCGCTTCCGAAAGTAGATCTCACCCTGTGTCGCGAGGTGGCGTCTAGAGAATTCATCTTCATCTTTGGCGATTGGGAGTTCCTGGTCGGAGGATGAGATCGAAAAGCGTGGACGACGGATCGCGGTCTCTTGAGTCGGAATCTGGATGTTGGCGACCGTGGTCGGCGAATAGGGCCGAAGGTCGACCCTTGAGTCTTTGTAAATTTTCGCCATGATCGATTGACGTGTGTCAACTTAGCACTCCATGGCCGGGGAAGTAGAAAAGTTGGAAGATCGAAGGGCGGGAAGCTGGAGCTCTCAAAAAACATGGGAAGTCTTGGCGCGATAAAAGGCCTTAGATTGATGGCTTCCGCCTTCATTTAACGTAACCGGTAAGCGAGCCGCCACCCTACCCAAAACGCGTCCAGGAATTAGATCTCTAGTAGTTCAACCACCCACCATGCCACCAATTCGCTCTCAATCCTCTAAAAATCCAACAGAGCAAGAGGGTAGGCTTTTATTAGCTATCCAGGCCTTTAAAAATAGAGATATTAGCTCTATTTCTCTTGCTGCGCGTACATTCAATGTCCCACGTTCAACTTTACGCGACCGCCTTAACGGCCATACCGAACGAAGCACTACACGCGCCAATTCACATAAATTGACAGAGATTGAAGAGGAGTCTCTTCAAAAATGGATTCTCTCTATGGATCTACGTGGAGCAGCCCCCCGGCCCTCTATGGTACGAGAAATAGCAGATCTTCTTCTTCAAAAGCGTGGAACTACCCCGGTCCTTTCGGTCGGCGAAAAATGGGTATATAACTATATAAAACGGCATCCTCTCCTTTCCTCCCGATTCTCGAAACGATATAACTACGAGCGTGCGAAATGTGAAGACCCTAAAATCATTAAGAGGTGGTTTGATCTTGTTCAAAAAACCATCCTTCAATTTAGGATCGACCCCGACGATATCTATAACTTCGACGAGACCGGTTTCGCAATAGGATTAACTACAACTACGAAGGTTATTACGAGGAGTGAATACTACGGTCGGAGGCCGGTTTTACAACCTAGAAATCGAGAGTGGGTGACTGTTATTGAGTGTACGAATGCTTCTGGCTGGGCCCTTCCTCCGTATATGATTTTTAAAGGCAAAGTCTTTATTGAATCATGGTTCGACGGCCTCCCGGAGGATTGGCGCTTCGAAGTTAGTCCTAATAGCTGGACTTCCGATGAAATTGGCCTTCGCTGGCTTGAAAAGCTCTTTATTCCTAGTACTTCTTTATATACGAAGGGGGGGTATCGACTTTTAATACTCGACGGCCATAGAAGTCATTTAACCCCGAGGTTCGATGAAATCTATGAAGAAAATAAGATTATACCAATCTATATGCCTCCGCACTCCTCTCACCTTTTACAACCTCTTAATATCGGCTGTTTTACGGTGTTAAAACGTACGTATAGTCGGATGGTTGAATTTAAGATGCGGAACCGGATCAACCATATCGATAAACTTGACTTCCTCGAAGCATACCCCCTCGCACGAATTGAAGCTTTTAAATCGGAGACGATTAAAAATAGCTTCGCAGCAGCCGGTTTAGTACCATTTGGACCTAACCGAGTGATTTCAAAGCTCAATATCCGGCTTCGAACCCCGACCCCCCCTCCGAGCCGGGGTAGTGATTAGGACCCCCAAACCCCATCGAACTACATCCAATTACAAAAGCAAGCTTCATCAATTAAAGCATTGCTTCGTATAAGATCAAGGAGCCCTCCAAGTCCTCTCAATTCCGCTATAAACCAGGTCTTAAAGGCATGCCAGATCACTATGCAGTCCGCCGCATTTCTCGAGAAGGAAGTGAGCGAATTACGCGCCGCCAACGAGAAGCAGAAGCAAAAGCGTACTAGATCCCGGAGGCAGATACCCGCTGAAGAAGGCCTCTCAGTTCAAGAAGCTTCTCAATTGATTACTGAGCCGGTGGAAGCAGATAAAGTGCCTCTCCCCCGCCGGCAGAGACGGCTCTCGCCACCTTTACAGCCACGAACGAGAGCATTACCAACATGCGGGTTTTGCAAAAACCAGGGTCATAAAAGAAATGCATGTCCAGAGAATAGATCATTTTAGTGTATTTAATTTAATGGCGTTATGGTTGAGATAAATGCAATTGAATGTAATGGGTTTGGGTAGGGTGGCGGCTCGCTTACAGTGGCGGCTCGCTTACCGGTTACGTTACTCTTCGACTTGGATCACTTACATGTTTTACTTTATATTCCAGTGCTTATATTATTAGTGATCTTTCAAAAATTAAGAATATACAGAGATTATTGCTTTCTAGATCCGCTACTATAAAAAAATAAAAAAAATAAAGAAGAAAGAAGAAAGAAAGAACCCTCAATGCTGAGATGCCATGGGGCGCTCTAACCATATAAACAGCTATTGAATGTAATGCTCATCAAGTCAATAACATCATGTCGGAGAACAAAATAAACACAACCTTGCTCTCAAGGTTGACTCACTTATCCTCCAAGTCCTTTTCACTAGGATCACCAATACCATTATCATTGATGGCGAAAAGGCAATCACTCTCTGGAAGACAAGGGCTATCATAAATCTTGCAAATTCGAGTCTCACCACGGCCCTTCTTCAGACTGAGTCGAGTGGTACTGGCATGAGCGATAATATTACCACCAATAGGTTTCTTAGGATCCGGGTTAAACATGGCACTGGGGCCACCATCGACTTGGGCAACGACCTGGTTTGTGATCACGACTGCGATGCCAAATTCATCCGCCAGGCGTTGCAACGTACGCATGAACTTAGCCAAATGAGTCTGCCGTGAGGCGAGCTCACCACGACCATTGAAATCCGTTCGGTACAGAGATGTCGCCGAGTCAACCACCAAGAGAGAGAATCGAGTCTCACACATCATCTGGGAGGCCTGGTTAAGCAGCTGAAGTTGGTGGTCTGAGTTGTATGCTCGTGCATATGCCACATTATCGAGGACCTCCTCTCCAACAAGACCGTATCGCTGCGCGACCGCAAGCAATCGCACTGGACGGAAAGTTCCCTCTGTATCGATGTAAAGACACTTGCCCTCGCCGCCGCCCATATCAAAAGGTAACTGGCAGGTCACCGCGAGGGTGTGACAAATCTGACTTTTTCCCGTTCTGAACTCTCCGAAGATCTCCGTGATCGATCCCGTTTCAACGCCTCCTCCGAGTAATGTGTCCAGTCGCTTGGATCCCGTTGTGATCGAGATGAGCTCGCTTCTTCGGGCATGCATTTCGGTTGCCGTTGTAAAACCCATGGGCACCAGTTTTGAGGCTAATCAGCACGTTCTCGTTAGCAACCCAATCTTCAATGTAGGGCTGTAATCCATTGCAGAAAAGGAGGATTTACCTTCTACTAGGATCTTGGTGGCCTTTTGTTCCGAGATACCCTTAATCTGTTCCAACAACCGCTTGGGCCTAAAAGTCACAGTGGGTGTTAGCCAGATTAAGATGAAGATGACAATGGATATAACAGAGCTGGTGCTGGTGCTGGGTAAAAACAAAAAACAAAACAAAACCGCAATGAATGTGAAGGTCATGGATACATACGTGTAGGCGACAGACTCGACAGTGTTATACCCTGCATCCACGAACAACTTAATGTCCCTAGCAGTCAAGCCAGAAACACCCTATCACAACGAAGTCAGTATAAAAATCCAACATTCTGCAGCAAAAGTATATTGTCGTGGCATTCACTTACGTCGAGCGCAGAAAGCGGGGTTGGGGCACCAGGGCCAGGAAGCCCATTATCCTCGAATTGCTCTTCTCCCTCCATACTAGTAGTACTATGCCTTGGTTCTTGATGTTATCAGGATCTTGATGCCTCTCTGGCAGGGTCTCTTGACTCGAAAGCACGGATGATGGATCCACTAAAAAAGACGCGTTGGGTGAGATGAGTACTCGCTCTCCTCGATTTGAATACCAAACAAAGCCAGGGAATCTCAATCAATCAGTCAAAAAACAGGCAGCCTCTGGTCATGCAAAGGTCTGAAAAGTCTGAAGCGTCTGTTTGTGGTAAAAAGGTCAGGATAACTCCGAGTCAACAAATCGGACGCGTCGAATGGATCGCGAGATCACGTGGGGTGCTGCCTTGAGCCTTTTCGGTTTTGGAGAAGCAACACTGTTTCTCTTTCAAATGTGTCGAAGCACATGTGTCTATACTTTGTTTTTCTTCTGCTACCTTACGATTAAGTGGTCAACAAGGGTCTTCATTTGGGGTGGACCAATTACTGTATACCCCGTGGATCGGATGCCATTGGTTCAATATGCAATAATAAAAAGTATAAGAATACAAATCCTGAACTGAAGTGCATGCTGAAACCCCACCTGTCGATCAAAGAACGTTCTCTCGAGGTTCTTCTGAGTCAGGGAACTACTGCTGGAACACTGTCCAGCTACCGCAACGCCATATCCAACTCAATGCTAAATGTCCGAGCAAAAGCATGTGTCAAAGGTCTTCCAAGGTGTCTGTTCCGATAAATTCGGTTTCCTTGCGAGACAATGACATTTTGTGAACCGCATCTCCCTACTGTTGATTTCCAGGAGGATTGAGCCACGGACGAAAAGGACGAAGCAACGACCTCCGGAACCGTCTCTGGTACTGGTGCAGAGCCGGATTGAACTCTAGCTGCTCGGCTGGCAGCCCCATTTGGACATTGTCGTTGAATATCTGGCTCATCCTGCGTCGGAACTCTTCGGATGATCGCCGACGAAGACGTTCTATGAATGAGTCGCATTAGTTTATGTGTTCAATCCCCAAATCGTGGCAAAATTCGACTTACTCATGGATCGTGAGCTCCGCTTGTTCTCTGATGAGAGACCAGAAGATGACTCACTCATGGCCGGGACATAGTCCATGTCCTCATCAGCACCATCCAATCCTACTCGGTGGTCCTTCGGGTCGGGATTAGAGGGTGTACCGAATATCCGCGTGTGGAAGCTAACACGCTTCTCCCTGCCTGGTGTGTCCCTCAAGCCGATCAGTAACTCCTCCCGTGCAGGTGATATGTGCATGGCATTTGGATTGATAGGCAGACTGGTTCGACTATGGCGCGCAGTGGGTCTATGGTTCTCGTAGATGAAGCCTGCGGAGGCTAGGTCGAACTCGGAAACGACTTCACGTCGGGCAGCCGGTGGCATAGGCTTTGGGCTGATCATAGGGCTCTGAGATCCTGCCGATGATCTGGAGGTGTCAACTTTACTATGCAACGACCTTGGTACTGGACTGGCCGGCTGGCTTGGAACTGGAGTTGCAGGCTGGCAAGGACTTTGCGTGGGTGTGTTGGGATCTGAAACCCAGATCCCTTCAACTTCTACCCCTCTTTCCAAAGCTCTGGCACCGAAAGGGATGTCATCCTTGTGCAGCATTGGGTAAACCTCAGGTTCCTCTTCTCGTTCTTTTGCCTCTGTCGCGGCGTATTTGCTGATCATCCAACGGTTCCAACCGAGAATGCAAAATGCGTACAGGAGTACCAGTGCCTGCAAAGCTTGTCAGTGTCTGTCTTTGCAGCGTTACCATCTAGTTACTTACGATCAGCATGGCTAGTATCTGTCAACGACAATAGTTAGTAAGAGATCTCCATGGTCATCATTTGCATACTTACTACGCTCAGCTTCTCCCATAGCTCCCAGTCCACCCAGAACGCCATAGTGGCTGGTTATTTTGAGATGTACTCGGACTTTACCTAGGGGAAGGACATCCGAGTAAGAGTGTTCAGAGTTTGTTTTGGTGCATGAAAAATAATCGCAGATAAAAAAGGCGCTGGGTAGGAAGTGTTCTTAGGTTCAGAGATGAGAGCAGACGCGATCTGTTTGGGGGAACAGGGAAAGGGCCCCAATGTAGGTGGTAGTGATGGCAGGAACGCCTGCCCATGCATGAATATCCTCATCTCTACCTGAATCTCTCTGCCCGTTTTCCTATTGTTATCTTTCTCTTTTCCTCTTCTGTTTTTTCGTATCCGTGGTCTTTATGTAAGTAAATAGACAATCATGTGAGTATACAATATCCGTTGCATACTTTAATGCCTACATGTATGTAAATCTGACTTGTAATTATCATATGAATCGCAGTTATGACAGCAGCTATTAAATGCAAAGGACAGTAAAAAATAATTCCTAGTATTGATTGACATGCGAAAGAAAAAAGCAAAAAAGAAATCTCTCCCTCGGGGAATCGAACCCCGGTCTCCCGCGCTTATCAGTGTTAATGACAAGCGGAAATCATCACCACTAGACCAAGGAAGATGCGATGGTCGAGTTACTGCTCGACCACTTGGCTGGTTGATGGTAAGAACTCAGCATTTGTGTTATATGAGCCAAAACTTATCGGAAGTTATGACTTGGTATCATTCCAAGGGACAAAGAGATGATGGGTTGAATTTTTCTGGAAATCTCTCTAAAATCTCAAGATCTTTAATGCACTTCTCTCTTTTCAATGGTTACAATTTTGAATTTTAGCGTAGGTGTGCTAAGGGGTGTGAAAACTAATTGGCTCAGGTGCACTCAATTATATATATTATCTCTGACCACGGCCAACCACGGCTAACTACATAAACAACATAACCCATTAAGCACTGCTCACGACTTGATATCATAACACTGCAATGAACCCCAGGTCTTGCCTTTCTGAGGAGACATAAATCCTGTTTTATCAGACTGACAGCCCTTGAAAGACGCATAGGTCTCTCCTAACCAATCATCGTTATCGCATTTCTTTCCCGAAAACATGGCACACTTGCCGCTTTTGATAAACCATGACTTGGGTTTCGTGAGTTTACTGGAGGCACAGGTGCCCCAGTTGAGACCACCATCCGACCACCATCGACAGGATGTAGTACTATCCGAGATTTTGGTGTTGGTATCATCCGCGAGAACAATGCAGTGGCCAGCATATTGGTCTTCATGTCCCTGAACAGTGAAGTAATCACCTTCACACTTATCCTTTGCATAGACTGACATTTGCCAAGTTTGAGTCAGAGCGATGCTGGTCGTGGTTTTGCTTGGAGGTGGGACTAATTTTATGCTAGTCAAGGTTACCATGTTTGCTTTCGCTGTAGGTTTTGAAGTAGTAGTCGTTTTGGAAGTAGTCTTTGAAGTAGTCTTTGAAGTAGTCTTTGAAGCAGCCTTCTTTGAATTAGTCGGTTTCAAAGTGCTCATCTTTGAGGTAGTCGTCTTTGAACTAGTACTTTTTGTTGTGGCTTTGTTTTGTGTACTCTTCGGTCGACAGTTAAAGATACAACTGGCGCCTGCATCACAAAATGCCGAGCTAGTACCACATTGGCCCGACTTAGCACACTGTAAATATAGTTAGTAGAGATTAACCAGATGGGTAATTCGGACAACTATAACACTCACGCATTGGTTTGAAGGGCACGGATTTAGAGAGGCGAGATCACTATATTTGGCAGGGCGTTGTGTCCCAGGAACCTGGGGACCGCAGACAGCATGTGGGAGAGCAACTGGCATAGGAAGGGCACCGGAGCTGAGACAGACAAAATCGCCTTGCTTTAATCTGGCACAACCCTGCCAGTCCCAGGATCCGAGATTCCAAGTCTCGATCTTGCTGGTAGTAATCTGGTAGCGCTTAGCAAGATTTGGGCAGGTATCGTGCTCCTGAATGATGTAGGTGTAGCAGATATCATCGCCACTCGGCGCAAGTGGACTACGCTTGTTGAGTGAATGGCCATGGGAGTCGCCAAAGCCGTGCCCGGATCGGGCTGTTGTTATGTGAACAAGCAACAGAGAGAGGAGGATATGAATGGAATTCATTGCACTGAGAATACCCTTGAATATAACTCTCTATCGAGGGGATCAGCCCGTCCTTTATAAATAGTTGAATGTGTGGAAAAGAGAAATACTTCGAGATTACCTAGCTTGATTCAGATGAAAACTGTCCGAACATGAAAATGAAACATAATCATTGAGTTTGGTTCATTGTTCAAGTGTAGACCTAGGAACCCCCTGTAAGGTTCTATCCTATCATGTCTACCGACCGGCAAGTATGAACAATTAATTCTCAACAAAGAACGATATCACACCCAACATATCATCATCTTCGGTTTGCTCTTTGTTTCCTGACATACGGGGTCCAAGATTGAGGGAGTTTGGAAGGGCTAGAATCAATACATCATCCTCAAGTAGATACAATGCAGGAAAAGTTGCGTATAGGCAAAACGCTCAAATGCATCAAAATCCAAATATCAAAAGGGCCAATACTAATAGAAAATCAACACAAGCCTTGGCTAGAGATGTGTGGATGCAAATTTAAAAGAAAAAAAGGGCAAAGGGAAAGACCCCAGATCCCGGATAGAGCTGAAAGAAAGCCCGGGAGGAAACCTAGAGAGTCAAGTACAAAGAGTACATTCAGAAGTGAATAGACTCATTGGCGCCCGCGCGTCTGGAGGCACTATTGAGACTATACCCCCAAACAGTGCTCAATAATGCCGATGGAGTCACATATCTTCCATTTCTAACACCAGAGGCAAAAACCTCTTTCAATCGCCAAGTCATGCAAGAGTCCATGAGACGATTTCCTATGGTGCCATATTTATCCCGAGGAGACTTGAAGATCGGGGACAGGGTTGTACTAACCTGTTCAATAGTGACATGCCTGATATAGAGTAGTTATTAGGGTAAGCCAAAGCAAGTTGAAAGGAAAGCAGCCGAAGGGAGAAATAACGCGAGAATACATTAGCAATAACTGAAAAGTGGGCCTACGGTTTGCGTGAGACAAGTTGCAGCAAATCGAATCTATCCGATAAGACTCGGAAATTCATTTTATCAACTGTTGTAAACTGATTGGAATCATATGTTAAAGTTCAAGCGCTGTGGCTTGAGGACCTGGGGCATGAGGAGATTATGCCGGACTCTTCATCCCGAGGCACAATTTATTTCACGTCTATGATTTGTCGGAGAGGAATGGCGGCATCACCCTCCAATGACATCGTGTTAGATTCGGACATTATTATCAAATGAAGTTAGCGTGGACTGGCTTGCCTGCACAGTCTGCACAATCTGCACAGAGGAATTCCGATGCAGGGGTTCTACTTCTCCTCACCCGGACTGAGGGGGAAGTATGATTACCTGGTCTTGTTCCTGGATCCCAGTCTTCTTTTAATATGATATACCCTTTAACCAGGTACACAATTTATAACTACAATATTCTGAGTATAAATAATCCCTGGGTATTTAAATAGTTATATCCAAATTATTCCCAAGTCCACATTTATACTCCTCTCCCGCCTTTTCTCCTGGGCATTATTGCTTGTTGAAAGCTTGGCACTCTTATCACTGGCAGGCTAATGGCTAGGCAACAAGGCTATATTAGCTCCCAAGCCACAGTCACATTATGCTGTTGCTTGCTTTGTACTAATAATTATCGCCGATCGCCCTGAAGAGAGCGATCACTTCCCCATTAGTCCGGGGTTATCATTCCATCATTCCACGATGCTTGTCAATCTATATCAACACCTCTAGGCTCCGTCGGGGATCCGGAGGACTAGAGCTTGTATCATTTTAGCGTACATGGGAAATAGACAATGCCATTGGACTCATACCCTAGTATTTGCTGATTATGCGTGAACCTGATGCACGAAACAGGAGCAATTGAAAGATCTCGGTACTTGTGACCTGACCTTGCGAGCAATTTGCGCGGATAAAGTGAAATTCTTCAGGCTGCCCTCCGTCTTGGGGTTATCCATCGGTCTCCGACGGCATCAGAAGATATGAGGCGATGTTACATTGAGGAAGACTAATTGAATATGCATTAGCCTGAGTACTTGGGGATTATTGTCTTTTACAACGTACTTTTCAATGAAGCTACAACTAGGCATGGCAGCTATATAAACGGCCTTTTCCCTACTATTATCTTGTTATTCACACAGCCAAGCAACCTCCAGTTCTTCCCAACCTCCAGTTCAATCATCCAACCTGCACCATGAAGTTCTCCGCTACCATCCTTAGCGCGGCGTTGCTCACAACTTCGGCCATTGCCGCTCCTCTCACCGAGCGCCGCGCAGCTCGCAATGCTGCCCGTGCTGCGGCCCGAGCTGACCGTATCAGCCGTCCGGCCTACAAGCCAGACACTAAGGAGCTTCTCAACGTGAATGCGACAACCCAGGAGGAGTACAGCTCGAACTGGGCCGGTGCTGTCCTTATTGGCAGCCAATACACCACGGTCACCGGAGAGTTCACCGTCCCCACGCCGAAGCTTCCCTCGGGTTCTTCGTCTGGAGAGCAGTACTGTGCCTCTGCCTGGGTTGGTATTGACGGCGACACCTGCAGTAGCGCCATCCTCCAGACTGGAATTGATTTCTGCATCCAAGGAGGAGAGGTTTCCTTCGATTCCTGGTACGAGTGGTACCCGGATTATGCCCACGACTTCTCCGGTATCTCGATCTCCGCTGGAGATGTGATCAAGCTCACTGTGACCGCTACCTCTAAGACCTCCGGTTCTGCAGTCATCAAGAACGTCTCTTCAGGCAAGTCTGTCACCCACCAGTTCAGCGGTGTTGATGATGGAGACCTCTGCGAGACCAACGCCGAATGGATTGTCGAGGACTTTGAGAGCGGTGGCGAATTGGTTCCGTTCACCAACTTCGGAACCGTGACATTCAGCAATGCAGAGGCCACATCTGGCGGCGAGACTGTTGGCCCATCTGGATCTACTATCATGGATATCAAGCAGAGCGGCAGCGTTTTGACCAAGTCTTCTGCTACTAGCAACAGTGTCACTGTGAGCTATGTTTAAGGTTGGATATAATGGTTCAATCAACCCTTGCTGCATCATTGGATGATTGGGTATGCACTGGGAGAATGCAAAGGAAACATATTTTAGCAAACAACGGGTGATCATATGAGCTAAATTTCTTTGTGTTAAATATATTGGAAGTAAATCGAAACTCGTTTTGCCTTGACTGATATCATGACTTTGTTCCAGGTAGAGAGGGAAGTTATTGGCTTAGTCGTGTAGTAGTATCGGATTGTGTGTAGTCCTTGAAAATGGATATTGTAGGTGCAATTTACCTATCCTAATGTTCTCCGGACTCATAGTCACCAAAAAAATACAAAAGCATGCAACAGCATGTCTCAAAAGGTGATCACCTAGCTGCCCTCAATGAGATGTGGAGAAGAGCGATCGTATATTTAGATTTATTCATTGAAAATCTCGTCAAAAGAAAGCCTATATCGACAGATAAAGGCAAATATTACGCCGTTGCTGGTAGCAAGGTCACGTATCCTTTCGGTGATTGGGAGTAAGTCTCACTCTACAATTAACTAGTTATGAGAACACAATATCTGATTAATAATACGAGTACAGAAAGAGCAATCAAGGGGACGAAAGTCTGTCATAAGTCCTTTCGCTCAGAGGAAGAAAGGAAGAAGCAGGGCCCTTTCTTGCAAGTTGGAAAGAGGTCTTCTCTGACTTATCGAGAAGAGAGCATAATACGGAGGTGAATGTGTGACTGAGCTACGTCTCACGGTCCCTGGTGTCTCTTGGGTTTAGAAGTTGAAATGATAATTTACTTAAATCCAAGCCTCTTCATGTCAAGGATTCCATGCATAATTGTTGAAATGAGTGTCACTCAAATAAATAGATTGGTTGAGACGCAAAACCCTTAGTATCAATAGAACAATATTATATTTTTGACATTAAAGGCCATTATCTCAGGTTTCTGAACTATTTCCGTTATCAAGGCCTCTCATTATGCTGTCAAAGAAAGCCATATCGACACCCTGGAATGCCCAGTCGTCCACCCCGGCAGTTAGCCCAGGATCCTGATAGTTCTGCAGGAGGGTATCAGAAATGGTATCTTGATATCGCGATGTGAGCTGCGCAGGTGGACCATCAACACTACCGATAGAGTTGTAATCCTCTTCAGTCATTGACCTAGGAAATGGATTTCCATCGAAGCGACTAGAGCCAAGATCACACACTGCAGCTTCAGAGCTGCCGGTGTTATGCATCCCAATTAACGAAGCGAAAGGTTGGCCATTACTTAAAGGAGGTTGTGCGTTGGCCATTTCCCTGGAAACAACGCCCTGACGTGCAACCCTGACGATACCAAAGTAAGGTATTTGCACCCGAACAACGCCATTGTCGTTTTCGCTTGACTGCAACACTGCACTTTCCGGTGTCTGAACGCTGACGCTCTCCGTACTGACGCCATCTGCTGCTTCGGAATCGATGGCTAGCAATTTATGCAATAAGCCCGCACTTTGGGCACTTAGAGTATCTCCGTTAACATGACTGATTTGTTCCATATTCACCTGCGCCTGCTCTATCATGGCGCGATCGCTAAGATATTGGTGCGCTAAGAGGTTGCTGGTCTGTGTAAAACGGTGGCCGTCAAGATGCCCCAGAAGTAGTGTAATGGCGGCCATGAGTGCAAAAAAGTCAACTGTCCGACAGCAGGAATTATTCTTGTTGTAGCCACGAAACATGATGAATCGCAAGAGAACTTCCCTTGAGGCATTCACGCAGGTCATTCTGGAATATTCATACTTCCGTTCAGTTGATGAACGAAGCATGTACGGCAGATGGAGCTGATTGAGCAAGTTATAGTGATACAATTGGCTGAACAGTCGTCCCATGTCCAAAAAAAGAGCTTGTGGGTCATCCGTGACACTGTCTAGGTTTGGCATAAGCCACCATTTGCTAGCCATGCTTCTACCCGCTTTCTGTAGCTCCAAGTCCAGTGTTTGTGTCAGGGTAAAGTCATTACCGCACGGGTCAGACTCGTTACGCTCCAATATGCGAGACGCGAGAGTACAGTGCATCCGCTCTAGGCGGCCCATAGGGATGTCATCTCTGAATTCTGTGCCAGTGGACATGCTCTGATCAAAGGAGCCTTGCGTAAGACCCAGCATGAGACACAAATTACGGTCGAGGGAGACAATCCGAAACCACATGAACTGTGGATGAGATTTCGTTTTGTGGTCAAGGACCTTGTACTTTGCTCGACTTTGAGTTTGGTGGAGGTTCATCATTTGCGCAATAGCCATAGCCCTCCGGTTCGCTATCCAACTTCGTCGTAGATTTCCACCATTTTGGTAGTACATGCTTTCCACCATAACACACTCTAGTCCTTCAATGCTGCCAAAAAACTCGTCGTTTGTCGTGACCAAATTAATGGCAGTACTTGTTAATCGTTCCATCAGGGTGGGCAGGGATTCCGGGAGACCGTTTGTCGCCCCAAGAACATTAGGGTGGAGATGTTGCAGGAAAGTAGCAATGTAAAGCATATGTCTTGCGATCAGCACTGGGTGAGAACTCGAACTAGGTATTTCGAGTAAACTGTCCGGAGACTTGAGGCCGTTCTGCTCGAGAACAGTATATGGGGTGTTTAGCATCTCATAAAAAAGGATGGCCTTTTTACTGCGGGCATTGTATATCATCTCGATAACTTGTTGTGAGGGCAAGGACTCGTGCAATCTTTGAGATAGCTTTCCATATCTCCCCTCAGCTTCAGCCGGGCCATGATCCTGATAAAATAAGTGACAGTTCATTATACATTGGACTTCAAAAAATATATACATACACCCGAAGGCTTGCATAAAGACGAGAAACGTGAAGATTCTTGGTCTGTTGATGCAACATCTGGAGTAGGGATTCCATGACTAGGGGTCCGAATTTCGCCAGTCGCAGGTACTTCTACTCCCCCATGATGGTCCACTTTCCTGATCAGTTGCTCAACCAAGGCCTCAACCCTCGCAACACGATCTTTGTCTTTACCGCTCGTGTGGTGTCGTCCCTTCCTCTTGAGATGTTCTGCGTTCTCTATTCCACCAACAAACTCAAACTCCTGGCTCACGCATTTGGACCCTCGCCGCTGGCAGCCAATGCAGATGGCATCGGCATCGGCTGGAGAGCTGGGGTTTGCATACACACATTTCATCTTGCGCTTTTTGCATTCCCAGCAACTCCTAGTCCCTTTGCGGATCTTCCTCCGCTTCGGCTCTGATTCGGCAATGATCTCGTAATCCATATCCGCGTCCATGCATCGAGTCAGTCAGTCCGTCAGTCCGTCACGGTGTTTTGGCTGCAGAGGCCGTAAAAGATGATGGAAGGTGAACAGAGCGATCGGACCGCCGGCGGGGGAATGCCCGCGGGCTTAGGGACAGATGACTCAGCGGATATCATCGAGGTCGACCGCCGCGAAATGCAACAGGCGGCGGACAAACGCCCCTCTGTATTTACATTATGTTACATTTTACATTTAGCGAGTCGGCGAAGATGAACCATTTTGTTCCGGGGGGTTTCTGATACTACACTATTTAGGAAGGAGTAATACAGGAGGAGTTGTCGATGTTCACAAAATGTAACTACTAGTAACTAACTAGTCACCTCGGTAGTCAGTAATACCTTTGTACTGAGTTAGAAACTACACACTTTAGATAGTATACCGATCTATATCCTATAACCAGAATTACTTGCCGCTAGGGGTCTCCGTATCGCGAGTTCCACTGTACGGCGATCGAAACGTGCTGCGGCGGGCCAGTGACTGTGTACTTGTTCCTTCGTCCGAATGACCGGAAGAAGCTCCGCTGGGGACAGGCTTAAATTCGGGCGACATGTGTAATACGTGCTTTTCAAAGTTATTTGACAAGTTATAAAAAGCCTTGTCTCTATCTGAAACTATTATTACTTACTTCGATTTGTCCTGCCCTGTCGAGACATTATTCCTTTGCAATTATTGACCGGTGATATTCCATTACTATTAGCGGAAATGGTTGGAACATTCGACGTGGAAAAGGAGCGGCAGAACACAGAATTGAGCGATCAATCATCAATAACCAACGCTCCTTCTGCGGCCAAGTTAGAGAGCGAGAATGCTCCAAATGACCAAGAGACTTCGTACCTACCGGAGAAGGTAGATGATGAAGAACAGGACCTGGACAACGAAGCACAGTATCCTCATGGTCTCAAACTACTCATCCTTGTCGTGGCCCTTGGTATGAGCATCTTTTTGGTTGCCCTCGACATGGTATGTCTCACAATCCCTCAGTGAGGAGAAGAGCCTCCCTTCAAAGTGCCATCATCATCTAATGTTAATATTAAATAAATAGACGATTGTAGCGACGGCTATCCCAAAAATCACCGATCAGTTCCACAGCCTCGGTGATACCAGTTGGTATGGTTCGGCTTTCTTCATGACTACCGGGGGGTTCCAGTCAACTTGGGGAAAGGTATACAAATTTTTCCCGCTGAAAATCTCGTTCCTGCTTGCGGTTTTCATTTTCGAGCTTGGAAGCTTGATTTGTGGTGTGGCTCCAAATTCTGTGGCATTGATTGTCGGTCGTGCAATTGCTGGAATCGGTGCAGCTGGTATTGGGAGTGGAGCTTTCATTATCATCGCTTTCATTGCCAGTCCAAAAAGGCGGCCACTCTTCACTGGTATTATTGGCATGTCTTACGGTATAGCGTCGGTAGTTGGCCCCCTTGTTGGTGGTGCATTCGCTGATAAAGTAACTTGGAGGTGGTGTGAGTATTTCTGCTACTGACTAGATCAACTAAAGTAGTTGTTCTTCACTGGACGTTGGACTTCGCTGACTTTCCTTTTTCCCATCCAGGCTTTTACATAAACTTGCCCGTTGGAGGTGTCGCAGCCGCTTGCATTATTTTCTTCTTCCATACACCTGACAGAGCTCTGAAAACCAAGGCTACATTCAAGGAGAAGCTCCTGCAGATGGATCCTATCGGGACGATCCTTCTAATCTGTACCATCACTTCATATATCTTGCCACTGCAGTTTGGTGGACAGACGAAGGCATGGAACTCCAGTACTGTGATCGGTCTTCTTGTCAGCTTCCCTCTCATGATTATTGCCTTTATGGCGTGGGAATGGTTCCAAGGAGAACGGGCTGCCTTTCCGCCGCGTTTGATGTCGAATGGCCTCATCCTTGTGAATTCAATCTACGCGTTTCTTTTCGCAGGTTCGTACTTTATCATAGTCTATTATCTTCCTTACTACTTCCAGAGCATTCAAAACGTCAATCCTACCATGTCAGGTGTACGCAACCTTCCTTTGATTGTCTCCATGTCATTAGCTATCATTGTCTCTGGTGGGAGCATCACCAAAACTGGTCATACTGCTCCTCTTATGGTTGTCGGTGGGGTCCTTGCAACCATCGGTTCGGGTCTGTTGTACTCGATGGACATCGGTACAAGCACAGGCAAGTGGATTGGATACCAAATTGTCGGCGGAATTGGATGGGGATTGGCCTACCAGGTTCCCATCAATGCGGTGCATGGTACAGTGGTTCCCAGTGATATTGCAACCGTGACGGGTGTTATCGTCTGTGAGTAATTTGCCTACTGCTTCTTGATTATTCGATAGAAACCAGCTAATAAACTTCATCTCCCAGTTTTTCAAACTGTCGGAGGTGCGGTTTTCTTGGCTGTAGCACAAGCTGCCTTCGTCAACCAGATTATCATCAAACTTGCCGCAACCGCACCGAGCATCAACTCAGCCTTAGTGGTCTCGACTGGCGCGAGCGAGCTGCGAGACGTCTTTACAGCTGAGCAGATGACTGCAATTTTGCCTGCTTACATGACCGGTCTCAAGGTCGCTTACGCCATTTCGATTGCGGCGGCGGGAATCGCTTTCTGTCTCAGCCCCTTCAATAACTTCAAGAAAATTGACGCCCATGCAGCGGCAGAAGAATCTGAGAACACCCCCGTCGGTGCGGCTGTGTAATTGTCTTGCTCTTGTCAAGGTACTTGTACTTTCTGTGGCATATTTATATCTGTGTTTAAGATACCCCAGGTTTGTGTCTGGCACCTGAGCGCAGACAGGGGCTTAGCTTAGTATAGGGCATTGCGTTAAATGGGCATGGATAAGGAGGGAAATTTGAACATTAACAATGTATCATAGGTAGATTAAGTGAGGCTGACCAGACGGTACGGAAATTCAGAGCTTCATACATTTCGTTGATCAATACATTAGGTTCCAGGGTGGACGAAGGGAGTGTGATGAACTATATAATTATCCAACTTGGGAGTTCGATTCCAGTTAAATGATTGGGAATCAGAAGTGCGAATGAGAACTGGCACTTTAAAAGGAGAGAGGTTTTCGATACAGCAATCAAGCTGGAACGAACCAAAGCGACGTTTGGGGCTACTATGGGTAGTATCATAATGTAGGTTGCAAGTCATTTTCTGTTCAAAGCCACCCTTACAGGTCAAAGAATGACTATTTGAATGCGTGGCTTATTTTTGACAGGTTTTTGGTGTTAAAGAGGGCGAATTTGAAGGATGATCCCAACGTAATAGCCTATAAGCACGAGTTCAATGTAGAGGTTGGGTCAGCGTTGAATATTTACGCCACTTCCGTTTTCGAAGTCCAAGAGGATGGCGGATCAGTCGATAAATCCATGGAATCTCTCACCACAAAAGTGGACAAACCAGCCACTGCTATTTTGGCACATCCGGCTCTAGCCATATATTTAAAGAGCAGCAACCCAAAGTTTGTTCTGCAAGCTCTGCAACGTATACACGTTGATGTTCGAGACTGAGCCGGCAGAACTGCATTATCGCACGTTGCCGAGATCGGAAGTCTTGAGATCGCGGAGACCCTACTTGAAAAAAGCGCTCTAGTATGTGCCGACAGTACAGATCTAGTAACTAGCATCGTCAGAGCGGAAAGAGCCCAATACATTGGGCGGCAATGCAAGGAGACAAACAGATTGTCGAGATACTTCTACGATATGGTGCTAATCCAAATGCGAGGACAACATCTGGACTCACCCCCCTACAAGAAGCTGCGGCTGCGAGTCACAATGGGCTTGTTGCATTTTTGGTGTCTAAAAAAGGTGGAGATTAACACCCCGACATTAACACCCAGGCTTATTCTGATGTATGTGCATGGTTTAATCCCTACAAAGAGCATGCAAAGCTAAGCAATTTTTAGATAGGGCTGGTCATCTTTGCACGAGGTTGTTCATAGGCAAAATATCCAAGTGGTTAAGCCTTCAGTTGACCATTATGGGAATGTGTCGATACTGAATATCATGTACCATTGACATTCTCTGTCTGGGCGTTGACGTAAAGTCGCAATGGAAACCTGACCGTAAGAAAGGTTTCCATTGAGTAGGTAACACTGACTATAGGCATTAGAGTGGGGATTCTTCTGTCCCCCGTCACTTTGCTAGGTGAACAACGGCCAATCCAAAGGAGGGTCGCCTAGAGAATAAGTGACTATGACACACATAATGGAATCCGAGAGACATTACATAAAATCCGACTTGAATTCTGGTGAGAGTTGGGGGGAACCTTCCAGGAAACGCACAATATAGTCACCACTGAACGTAATTTCAATTTACCCTTACTTATGAGGATTCGTTGTTAAGAGCACTGTTTCAGATATATTTTAAATCTCAGTTCTCGCTCACTATAAATTTTAGGATATTCCTAAAGATACAGCCTTGGAAGTTCGAACGTATAAGCGTTGACTATATCAGAGTATCTCTCCTGCCTCATGAGCCTCGTTCTTTCCATTTCCGGGTGAGAAATGGCAATTAGTTGCTCGTGAAAGCGCGTTTGCGTGTGTGGGCTTTTGCTTTTAATCCTCCTAGTCAGACTTCGTCTCCCTTCTCCCTTCGCCTTTCACACTCCCTATCACAACCTTGGGTACCGTCCCAAAAGTAAGCTTCCTCGGCGGAATGACAATATTTGTGAGACAGAAAGCTGACTACGACTTGTCAAGTTACAGATCAAACCTCCAGCTATCTCCGACAAAACACATCATTATTCCCACCAACAGTGAGATTCATCCCCATCGATGACCACAATATAAAGGCACAACTGACAAGGAAAAGTGGCCGATACTGGGACAATCCCGACATTCACTGATGAGCAGCTTGAGCTGCTCACCCAGTTACGAGTACGTGAAGATGGCAGAGAATACGCCTGCCAGAGCATCATGGAAGAGGCCCAAATCATCATGGGCGTCACAGCCGGCCTCATAAATCTTCACCTGGGAGACATCTCACACAGCTCTCACCTGGTCCCGGTCATGCTACAAACACTGGAGAATAGAATAATAGGTCTCCTAGAAGAGCTATTTGAGCTATTGGCTGAAGCGCAAATGGATGAATGGACTGAGTGTTGGATTTTGCGGACCGTTGGCTGAAAGAGATATTCGAAGAACTAGTGCAGGGCCCTCTTGAAATACTGTGGATTTGAGGACACTTCCCACTGAGACCATTCTTCTAAGGGCCCTGTTTAAAATGGAGAACATTTTACTTGCTGTAATGCCATTCCATTATCTACCTTTCTTTCATTGGTAAAGTTTTAAGATTAGCCTTGTAGGTCGCGCCAAACAAGAATAAGCTCATTTGGACTTCTACTACTATTAAACTTATTACCTTTTTGAGTGCCTCATGGTAGGTCAATTGAATTTCAAGCTTCTTTGCTTCAAGCCTTAGTTTCACTTTGCTCTTACAGTTTGTTGATATTACTCTTCAACCTGCTCTCCCTGAAATATAACTTCACTATCACTTGTGACTTAGTTTCTATATACTAGGTCAATCTCTGATAATACATAGCGAAGTCTCTTGAACAAAGTATGCCTTTAATATTGCACTTTCCTCCTGAGAACGCACTTTCTCTCATATCAAGTACTATTTATAATGCTATTGATATCCTCTCCTCTTTTAACTTCTCGAACTTCAAGCTTT